AGCCAGGAGGGGAGGGAGGATGCGGGGAGGTGCGTTCTCCCGCCCTGCAGCCACCTCGCCCGAGTGTTGCCTCGGGTCTGGCTGCGGAGTTGCACTCTGTAACCGAGGGCAGAGGTGGCAGCTGGTGACCTTTAAAAAGAAAAGATAAAGTTAAGTCCTAATTAGACAAAAATGAGGAAAATCAGTAAATCCTAATTAGAGGTATTTTTATCGAGGCAGAGTGACGCGCTTTCTTCCTCTACAAATACACCTTTTTTTTCTCGTTCTTAGTGAAAAACAGACTCTGATGGCTTCTGCACTGGCTTTCTCAGGCTTCTAAAAAAACAGTGGCCTCTCACGTGCCTTTTGCAGATCTATGTTCTACTCTGGAGCGAATACAGACGTGTAAATCTCGTCCGGAGAAAACCAAGTATTTCAAGGATTTTCTGGATTCCTGGAGAAAATTCCATGATGCTCTCCATCGGAAAGAGAAAGATGTCACGGATTCTTTTTACCCAGCCATGCGACTTATTCTTCCCCAGTTGGAAAGAGAAAGGATGGCATATGGAATTAAAGAAACTATGCTTGCAAAGCTGTATATTGAACTGCTTAATTTACCAAAAGATGGAAAAGATGCTGCAAAGCTTTTAAATTACAGAACACCTAGTGGCTCACGTGGAGATGCTGGAGATTTTGCAATGATTGCGTACTTTGTGTTAAAACCTAGGAGCCCGAAACAGGGCAGACTGACAATAGAACAAGTCAATGAACACTTAGATGCCATAGCTAATAATAACGCTGCTAAAAACAAGACTCTGTTAAAGAAAAGTCTCCTTCAGTTAATTACTCAGAGCACAGCACTGGAACAGAAATGGCTCATCCGGATGATTATAAAGGATCTAAAGCTTGGTGTTAGTCAGCAAACTATTTTTTCCATTTTTCATCCTGATGCTGCTGAATTACACAACGTCACAACTGATTTGGAAAAAGTTTGCAGACAATTGCACAATCCCTCCGTCTCACTTAGTGATGTTTCTATCACATTGTTTTCTGCCTTTAAACCAATGCTTGCTGCTATTGCTGATGTCCAGCAAATCGAGAAACAAATGAAAAACCAGTTATTCTACATAGAAACTAAGCTGGATGGTGAACGTATGCAAATGCACAAAGATGGAGATGTGTATAAATATTTTTCCCGAAATGGATTTGACTATACTCAGCAGTTCGGTGCTTCTCCCCTTGATGGTTCATTAACACCATTTATTCATAAAGCGTTTAAGAGCAATATACAAAATTGCATTCTTGACGGTGAAATGATGGCTTACAATCCTGAGACACAAAGTTTTATGCAGAAGGGAAGCAAGTTTGACATAAAAAGAATGGTGGAGGACTCCGATCTGCAGACCTGCTTCTGTGTGTTCGACGTGTTGATGGTTAACGATCAGAAGTTGGGGCACGAAGTACTAAGCAAAAGATACGAAATCTTGAGCAGCGTGTTTACCCCAGTAACGGGCAGGATACATGTTGTACATAAAAAAAATGCCAGTAAAAGAAAAGAAGTAATTGATGCTTTAAATGAAGCAATAGATAACAGAGAGGAAGGGATTATGGTGAAAGATCCCATGTCCACCTACAAGCCTGACAAACGTGGAGAAGGCTGGTTAAAAATCAAGCCAGAATACGTCACTGGGCTCATGGATGAACTAGACCTTTTAATTGTTGGTGGTTACTGGGGGAAGGGCTCACGTGGTGGAATGATGTCTCATTTTCTGTGCGCTGTTGCAGAGACGCCCCCTCCAAATGAAAAACCTACCGTTTTCCACTCGATTTGTCGTGTTGGCTCTGGCTATACTATGAAGGAATTGTATGATCTGGGTTTGAAGCTGGCTAAACACTGGAAGCCCTACCGTAGGAAGGACCCTCCCTGTAACATTTTGTGTGGCACTGAAAAACCTGAAATGTACATCGAGCCTTGCAACTCTGTCATAGTTCAGATCAAGGCGGCTGAGATTGTTGACAGCGATATGTACAAAACTGACTGTACTCTGAGGTTCCCCCGAATTGAGAAGATAAGAGAGGACAAAGAATGGTATGAGTGCATGACTTCAGACATGTTAGAGGACCTCAGAAGCAAAGCAGAAGGGAAGCTGGCATCTAAGCACCTTCATATAGAGGAGTATGATGAGCCACAGGAGAAAAAAAGGAAAACTATATCAAAGGTGAGGAAGATAATTGGTATAGCTGAGCAATTTAAAGCTCCTGATCTTTCTAGCATAAACAAGGTTTCAAATGTATTTGAAGATGTTGAGTTTTGTGTTATGACAGGGACAGGAATGTGCTCCAAGTCCGAACTGGAAAGCAGAATAGCTGAATGGGGCGGCAGCGTGGTGCAGAACCCGGGGCCAGAGACTTACTGTGTCATTGTAGGAGCTGAGAATGTCAGAGTGAAAAACATCATTGCTTCCAACAAATACGATGTGGTGAGGGCAGAGTGGCTCCTTCAGTGTTTTCAAACCCAAACGCTGGTGCCTTGGCAGCCAGCCTTTATGATCCACATGTCTCCTGACACAAAAGAACATTTTGCTCGTGAGTATGATTGCTACGGGGACAGCTACACAGCAGATGCAGATGTTGCCCAACTCAAGGAAGTGTTCTCCAGAATGAAAGACACTAAGGTGATGCCTTTGGACATGATTGCAGAGTTAGAAGAACGTTATGCATGGAACAGCTGTCAGCTCAGTATATTCAGAGGAAACACTGTTTATGTGGACTGTTATGCTGTCATTAATGAGCCTGGAACCAAAATCAATGGAACAATACTGTCAATTAGAGCTTTGGAGCTCCGTTTTTATGGTGCAAGAGTAGTCTCTCACCTTGAAGAGGGTGTATCCCATGTTGTTATAGGAGAAGATCATTCCCGGGTAAAAGAGATAAAAGCACTGAGGAGAACATTTGGGAAGAAGTTTAAAATCGTGTCTGAGCTGTGGGTAACACAGTCAGTGGAGGAAGGAGTCCTAAAGAATGAAAATGAGTACTTAATTTAAAGTAGTTTTTAAGCTTGGAGCAAAAGCTTTGTTGTTGGACTTGGATATTACGAGGTTTGCCTTAAATTTTTTTCTCTGTTTTCACGTCTGTTTAAAGCTGGCCCTGGCTGAAGAGTAACACTGTATTGCTGAAATCAGAGGAAGGCTTTTAATTATACTGTTGTGGAAGCAAGAGTGTGCTAGTCTATGTTGCGGGAGAAAAAAAAACCACACTAGGAGATGAATTATTTAAGCCTTTTACTTTACAAACTGGTCTCAGGAGAGATCTAATATTTTACATGAGAAAGTGCCTAGCTATTAATAGTACTTGCCTCCGTTGTTCAAAATGGGGATGGCAATTTACTATTTTATGGGAATTCTACTATTTAACATACTGTTTATTTATCTTTTTACAGTCATATTCATGTTTTTGTGGATGCTGTAGAATTCAGTAATTTAAAAACCATGCCTGTCCTATTTTAAGTTGCTTACAGTGGTTTTAGCATTGAGCCCCACACAGCCTTGGTCACACTTTCATTTTAGGATATTGCATTGATCCTATGTTTCTCTGTGTAAATGACCATTGTAAAATAGAATTTAAGCTTCTGATTGAGACACTAATGAATTAATAGTGACCTTTATATCTGTAAAATAGAAATCAATTACTTAAAAACTGTAATGCCCTCCTATGCTCTTTACAGTTAAAGTGTCAAGTGCTACAGGGCTAGGCTTTTAACTATCAGTTTATCTTTCAAAAAATGTTTCATAAATTATTTCAGTAATGTAGGATTAATTTCCAAATACTCTGTGCATTGTATATTTTTTCAATTAGTAAATAAAATCTATTTTTAAAATCTTTTTGGTATTCTTTTTTAAGTGAAAGAGAACTCCTTTGAAAAGCACAAAATTTAGTTTCTGACTTTACAGTGTTAAATAATCTTTTGCATTAACTTTGATTGGAGAAAGATCAGGCCTCAGTTCTTTTTATGTCAATACTGGTGTCAAAGAGAAACGCTGTTGGGCTGATCACACAGAACCAGTTTTTGTCCGCCCTGTTTCTTAAATGATTTTTGTGATTGTGTTCATATAAAAAATTGCTCTTAAAAGAGTAGGGAAATGTTTTAGGGGAGGCTGATCGGGAAGAAGCTTATTCTTTTCTGGTTAGTGACAATGTTAGGAGCTCCCTTATTATTTGAAATATACTAAATGGGTAAAGTGAAATAACCGCTTTTCATAAGCCACTGTGTAAACTGTTAAAAAGCAGAATATTTTCTGCATACATAAAATAGTATGTTATGAAAAAACAGTGCATTCTTTTTCCTGTAAAAACTTTTGAGTAGAAAACTGGTGTATGTGAAATGCAATACGTTCATTTTAACTAACTTGGCTTCTTCTGTGTAATGTCACGTATTCAGATTTATACATTGAAAATGAGAAGAGTTTGTCCTCATACCTGTGCAGATCTCTCTTAAATGGGTTTTAGTAAAGTATATATTTTAGGTGGTCCAGGTTAGGAAAGTTAAGAGAAACAAATGCAATTATGAATTGCAGCTAACTTATGAGACATTGTCAAATGTCTTGCTTTGACATCTAAATGTACAGAGATGTATTTTAAAAATATAGATTCCAGATTGTCTTTTTGCTTTCTCAAAGCTATACAAAGCTGAGGAATCTAGAAGTAGTAATTTATCAGCAAAATTGTTACTCGTTTTACTGACTGCTCAGTACACAGTGTACTGAGAGTTGGGGTTTTTTATTTATTCAAACTGAAGCTTTACTTTTTCACAAATAAAAAAGAAATACCCTTGCAGATGCAGTATGGTGCTTTAGTATGTTTTATTTTGTATTTTCTCTCAGTTCTAGTTAGAACAAAAAAATAAGCGTTAATCATATTTGTATGTGGCATGATAATTAGCGTACTGGATAACATCAAGCATTTTAGGTGGTGTGTGTTTCTTCTGGTTACTGTTTCGCAAATTTAAAATACTGAATAAGAATTGCTCTACTTAAGAGAATCTTGCTACTGCACTGTAAACATACAGTCATCACAGGTCAGGTTTTCTTTTGAGATGTTTCTTTTACCTGGTGATTTAGGTGGACGAACTGCATGGATCTTCGGGTGAAACTGGACTGAGCTGTCATTAAAGTGTGTGTCTAGAACATAACCCAGGGAACAGAAGAATCCACAGATACTCTAAGCAAAGGCATTCTCATGGAAGAACAGTAGTGACAGGAAAATAGGAGAAGTAGGGAGGAAATTTGTGAATCTGCTTACTTTTAAGGAAGTTCTTACTGAAAGAATAAATGAAGGCTGGAAGCATTTCAAAATGTCCAGACACAAAACATTTTGCTTTTAAAATCAATTTTTTTAAGGAAGTATGCAGAGAATTTCAGATGTGATGTCTAAGATTTGTAGGTAGCAGTAAGAGCTGATGTGGATCAACAGTATCTGTGTAGGAGAAAACGTCTCATCATTTTTTTTTTGGTCTAATAAATTTTTTTTCACATGTAAAACCAGCCTTCATTATTAGATTATAATCATCCATTAAAAATAATGTTCAAGAGAGAGGAAAAGCTGGAGTCAAAATGCTGAAACATTAACCTGATGTTTGAACTTCCAGAGGACCTCCTCTGATTACAAAACATCAGCCTATTGTAGGTTTTACTGCAATAAATACTCAAATTTTCTTAACTACATTTAAGTCTTTGAAACTGGGGGCTTGTAGGTGAAGATTTCTCAGCTTTATTTCCATTTTGTTTCTGTGTAAAACCAGATTTTTTTTTTTAAATAGATGCTTGGCTTGAGAGCAAACCTGATTTGCACTGTAAGATAAAGTTCTAAGTTTATTTTAAGATGGTGTCCTGAAGAAATGGAGAAAGAAAGAAGAGAAAAAGGCATGGTAGATCTTGCAGTCTGGGAGAAGTAGAGACAAGTTAGCTATCCTTTGTTTTCACTGCCTTTTAACTGGCACTTCTCGAAAATGCTGCTAGTGATGGAGAAAGAGAAGCACAGCTCTCAGGACCTGCTGGAGCAGAACATCTGGTGGCTACCCATCCCCACTGCACCTGCGTGCTGGTGAATGATGGTCAGATTTCTCGACTAGCTACAGAGGCAGTTCTGCACAGGCAAAAAATTTCACAATCTGTGGGAGAAGGTTCCATCGTTCACTTTGTTTATTAAATTACTTATAAAAATAGATTCACATTGAACTTTTTTCTAGTCACATACTCAAAGTGATGTAGTGCAATTTTGGGATTAAAAGCCTGTGGGCAGCTTGCACAGAGTATGAGAGATAGGAGTTTGTTGGGTGAACTGTTCAGTGAATGAGGAGTTGGTTGAATGGTTGCATCCAGAGGGTGGTGGTCAGCGGCTCAATGTCCAGATGAAGAAAGGTGACAACTGGTGTCCCTCGGAGTCCATACTGGCACCAGTGCTGTTTAATATCTTCATCAGTGACATAGTGGGATCAAGTGCACCCTTAATAAGTTCGCAAATGACACCAAACTGTGTAGTGTGGTCGACACACTGCAGGGAGGGGATGTCATACGGACGTCTTGGACAAGCTTGAGAAATGTATGCAAGTGAACCTCAGAGTTCAACAAGGCCAAATACAAGGTCCTGCACCTGGGTCAAGACAATCCCCACTATAAATACAGGTTGAAGTATGAAGGACTTGACAGCAGCCCAGTGAAGAACTTGGGACTACTGAGGGATGAAAATCTGGACGTAAGCAGGTAATGTGCAGTCGCAGGCAACAAGGGCAAGAGTATCCTGGGCTGCATCAAAAGAAGCCTGACTAGCAGGTCGAGGGAAGTGATTCTGCCCTTCTACTCTAGTGAGATCCCACCTGGAGTAATGTGTCCAGTTCTAGAGTGTTCAGTACAGGAAAAACATTGACCTGTTGAAGCAGGTCCAGAGGAGGGCCACAAATATAGGCACAGGGATGGAACACCTCTTCTATGATAAAGGCTGAGAGAGTTGGGATTTTTCAGCCTGGAGACGAGAAAGCTCCAGGGACACCTTCTAGTGGCCTTTCAATACTTAATGGGGGCCTGTAAGAAAGATGAGGACAATATTTTTAGCAGGACCTGATGTGACAGGACAAGGGATAATGACTTTAAGCCAAAATAAGGTAGATTTTGGCTAAATATAAGGAAGACATTTTTTATTATGAGGGTGGTGAAACACTGGATCAGATTACCAAGAGAAACAGTAGAAGCCCCATCTCTAGAAGCATTCAAGGTCATATTGGATGGGGCTTTGAGCAACCTGATCTAGTCGAGGATGTCCCTACTCAGTGCAGGGGGGTCAGACTAGGTGACATTTAAACATCCCTTCCATCCCAATGTATTCTAGGATTCTTTGATCGTGTAGCTGCATTACCTTGCTTGGACAGTTGTGAAAATTGCTGTGTATGAAAAGAAGCTGTGATTAAGTTCAGACCTCCTGTCTTACTCCCCACTGTAGCTGTCTTGTAGCTGTGCTTGGCTATGTAGCTAGCTTTTTTTTTTATAATGTTTAGTTTCAATCTTTCTGTTAAAAAAAATCCCATCATTTAACCTTTCCAGTCTATATGCAATTTCAGTTTGAATTCTTTCAAGAGAGGAACTTGAAATTGTAAGTTATAAAGTTTCTGAAAAGGAGAAAAAAATGTTCGTATGAATGTGGCTAGGGAAATGCCTTTTAACATAGTCAGTTCAACTGATCATAAAGCATCTCCAGCTGGTAACAGCTGTTGTACCACAGAAAATTAGATGGGCCTTTAAAATTTTACTGTACTACTTTTTGCTATGAGGGGACCAGAATGAGAAAACAGTCTATACATTTGAATTATTATACAAACCTAACAGGCAAGATGGAACTTAAGGTATAATTAAAATGTTTCTTCATGTTATTTTCTAGAAGTAAGGAAATGAGAAGGCATCCATCTTAGAATTATTTTATTATTTATTATTTATTTTAAGTGTATTTAGTGTTTTACCGGGATGTTTTCAACAGAAGTAACTCTCCCTTTCTTTGT